GCCCGACCGTCGGAAAAGCCCCCGACCTGAATTTTTTTTTTTTTTTTTTACACAAAACACTCAAAAACTCCACCTCCCGATTTATATAGGCCTATGCTTGTTTACCATCCGTCCGAACGCTAGCCGACTGGGCTTCTCCCTGCAGTTCCATTCCATCATCGTCCCGTCTAGGCCTAGGCTAGCCTAGTCCTTGCTTCTATCTAGAAAAGGCCTAGTTTTATAGTAGTAGTATAAAAAGAGTGTATTTGTATACACGGTACAGCCGATGCAAGCAAGCATTAAGATTTACTCGGGATTAAGTTTACATTAGCAAACTAAACTCCGATCCGATGCTTACGTCTCATGCTTTGTGCAGAGAAGCCAAGTCAGCCAATCAGCGCGTTGGTATTTCCATCACTTTGGAAGTAGACGTATCCACAGCGCGAAAGAGAAACAAGGAGGAACGCTCTGTGGTGACCTGAGACAAGACACGACAACAAACATGGCTGCGCCCAAATGTTACTAAAGCTAAATCATATTTACATTTGATAAAAACAACATTTATTGATTGAATGTACATTTTCGTACCAATAATCGATGGGGATTACTAATGATGGGCGTGGCCCGCCCATCGGCTCAGTGCCACGCCCACTGGCTTCCATTTTGGAAAACCCCTACTTACTGGCGAAACCCCTGCGAGGCATCAATGATGACTGTTGTGTTGTTCCAACAACAAACCCAGTATGATCCAGTTATAATTAATGTCCAGCAAACATAAACTTAAACACAAAGCATGGAATATTCACATGCTGGTACAGTGACATAATGTTTCCAAACAGCTGGTCCAACTAGATGTCAAATTGTTTCTCGGCATAAACATAGCACATGATACTAGTTAAACTCATTAACAGTATTCACTATTGAGTATTATCACTATTATTTTATGTACATACTCTCTAGTATAGTTGTTGAATAAACAATCACAAATAATAATCAATTGTACAAAATACCAGTTCAAAAATTACATTTCTGTTTATGAATGGACAATAATGAATTATTATACGACTATGACAAACTTCAATCTTCTTTAATATTTTGCTTTTGTTATTTTTATTTTTGATTTCACATCCAACAGCAATTACTGTACACTCGCCACTTAGGATGGAATGCTTTATAAACCTATTATCGATATATCATCAGTTCTGTAAGCATATACAATGTTGCATGTTTTAAAACTTCATATATAGGGATTTCAATATGACTGTTATTCATATAGGCAAAGTGTATCTGCTATAGATGAATTACATGATTTCTTGTATCCAATTTTGGCCTCTGTTGTTTTCCTCTTCTTTGTTTTGCTAATTTTCCTTCCGACGCTGGTTTTTCATGTTCTACGAGGAAAAAAAAAATAAAATAAAAAACCTCCCTCCCTACCATGAAATTTGATACCAAAAGGATGCTAACCAATTATTTTTTTTTACGTGGCCTTATATAAGAAATAAAACTAAAATTGTTTTAAATTCATTTTCTTAACAATATGATTGTTTACTCATCCAAACATACAATTTAAGAAATTCAGAATTAATTTTTATTTTTCAAGGATTTCTGGGTTCCATCGGACTATACATCTTTAAGTTTAAATGAAATGTCATGAACATGGTGCAACAACGTTAGAGGCCGCTGTTAAGAATAGTAATGTCGATGCATGAGTGACAGCGAATGATGTCATAAAATCAGAAGTATCGGATTTGAAATCCATTGTAGTGGATTTAATGAATGTGGTTTCTACCTTAGAGCACACTGGATAGAGATACCGGTGGTGAACGTGGGAGGCCTTGTACCAGGGATGCAACCCCTGACAGGTACCTAATGTTGAATATTATCGGAACCATTCCTCCTCTTGGCGTAGGGACAGGACACCCGAATATCAGCTGGGTAGATATGATCGCTCGGACTCCCGTAACCGAGATTGGACGCCCGAATATCCGCAGGGTAGATATGAGCATGCCAACACACATTGCAGACAAAACATTCCATACCGCAGGGCATACAAAGGTAGTCCCAAACGGGTTACATTTAACACCAAATATTCTAGTTCGGGAAACTAAAGTCAGCTGGAAATTTGGGTCAATATTCGGCTTATGCAAGTGGAAATACTAGTGATGTGCAAAGACCGCTCAGTTGTCATCAGCAGATGACCAACTTGTACATAATTCAGATGAGATTTTTGGTGTTCCTATTAGTGATTTAACTCCCACATACAGTTGTATGTTGAGGGTCACGAAGTCAGTGCTTTAATTGACACTGGTGCTAACATTTCTTTAATTTCTAATCAGTTTCGTAAAAGTAATAAGTTCTTAAAGTCAAGAAGATTTGAGAAAGTTTTCACACGGCTAAGTCAGTTGACGGCAGCCCCTTTGAAGTTAGGCTGTGTTAGAGTTAATTTGCGTATTGGGGATGTTACGCTTAACCATAATTTTCATGTCTCAAATAGTATGGAGAGACCCATGATATTGGGTTGGAATTTTCTTATGTCAAATGGGGCAGTTATTGATTTGAAAACTGGAGTCATTAAGATTGCTGATACATTCCGTACTGACCGACAAGTCGCTTTACTGTACATACTTGTATGTTGTTTTACCACGAGCATTGGTAGTTCCAGCAGGTGTGGAAATGGCTGTGATGCAAAGTGTCAGCCCCTGAATGTATTTCTGTCCCTCATGGATACGAAGGTGTAATGGAGCCTGATAAGAATATGCCTATTATTTGTGGAAGGACAGTTGCTACAGTAGACAACAGGATAATACCTATTTTGTTGATTAATCCAACTCGTGAGGAAATGCCCCTAGGTCAGTTTTACTCTGCTTGTGATAGGAAGGAGGATGAGTATTATATTA